TTTATCCGATTTCGCCAAACTTTGGACGACTATAACTTTGTTCTCCGCAATCCGAATGTCATGATTTTTATTTTGATTTCGTCTAACTTTTCAAGGATTACAATTTTTATCATATTCATAATTTCTGAATGTACTTGGATTTGTGAAAAGTGAAGGTAAAGCTATTCCCAAAATCCTGTATATCCAGAAATAATTCCTGTTTTGAAAATTCCTTCCATGTAAAAGTTGTATTCCTTCTAAAGTTACGCGAAATTAAAAAAAAATTCATGACGTTCGAAGTGCGGAGCCTAAAGTTATAGTCGTCCAAAGTTTGGCGAAATCGATCGGAAAAAAGCTCATTCGGGGAAACAAACGGCGTTTTTCTAGGACAAAAGCGGAACCAAACCGCCTGCAGAAGTTTCGCCATGCAAGATCTCGGAAACTTAAGCGGAATAAAAAACTCGCTACGATCGGGTACGCGAGCACAAAGTTATGTTTGTTTCATGTTTCGACATAAGATTGGATTGAAATAAAATATCCATACAAACTGTTGCATAGGGGGTGGGGGGGGGGGGTTTGCACATGAACCGCTGCTTCCCGACGTAGTTTATCATTATTTGTTCCTAGAGAAGTTAATCTCGGGTTCTGAATAACAATGATGCATTCAGGGGAACACTCCTTTCCAACTTCGTCATTACATCAAATACGTTGTGCTGTTGCGGAGAGTTTGAAGCAAGAAGCGTCACATTGTCAATAGTATCGAATTCTGAGTCCATAGGAGGGGATAAGCACTTACAACTTCATATTTTGATTGATAAAACATTATGGTTAGTGGATGCATGACATTAATGTTCGAATATATGATTTATTGCTTGAATCAATACATATTGTTTAGTGAAGTGGTGATATCTGGACCAATTGGTAAATGATTTCATAGAAACGATTAAGACCGATTCTGATTATCAAACAGACATGAGATTTCCACATGTGATTATTGTACATTTAATTATTGCTTTCCATATCTTTCTTACCAAACCCTAACAAATCCTTTAGGAATCTCTTTGTCTCTGGTTCTTCCTTCACTAGTCGCCTCACAATGATGCCTTCTTGGATCATAATTGCATAGCTCAATCAAAGGAATAAAATTCCTTGTTCGAGAACACAAGAACAAGGTATTCCAAAGAGCTTGGGTAAGCTTGTTTGAATGGGGTTTCGATGGAAACGAAAGGGAACTCTTACACCAGGAAGAGTGCTCGATCGTTATGAGGTCGCCTTCGATGTAATCGAGGGGGTTTGCTTGATTAATAGGCCAATATTCAGCAAGCTTAATTTGATCGCAACCAAAACAAGACAACTTCACAACTCAAAACGTTGGGAATTTTGGGGTTATCTTCATAAATCAACTCTGAACTTCACAATACATGAATGAGGGCTTTTAAAGGCATAAACAAGCTTAAACAAACCTAAACACTAATGGAAACTAAACTAATTCAGCAAGGAAACTAAATTATACAAGTAATCCGAATCCAACTCGGAATCCTAATGTCATGCGGATTTCTGGCAGCTCGAGACAACATCTTTGAGTGCCTCGAAAATTATCTTCCCAGGCCATTCGTCTTCATACAATTCCTGCCCTTGGTTTAGTAAGTACTCTTCTTTCCATGGCAACTCGAATTAGTCTCTGCTTGTGTCCCAAACTCCAGCTATTAAGTTCCAAAGTTGGCACCTTGATCTCGCTATTTGCCTTAGCCAAAAATGGCAGATTCTCGGTTTTAATTTGGCAACTTGGAGAGCTTCAATCATGGTCTTCCATACTTTAATTGGAACTTATAAGCCTTCCATCTTGCACAGGTTTACTCCATCTTCAAAAACAAGCCATCAAACTCAAATTTTCATTGAATGACTTGATCGAACCAAGCCTCCAAAGTTGGTAACATGAAACACATAAAAGACTTAACCAAAATTCAGATTCTTTCTGCCTTGTGAAACTAACTTCTTGATCAATCCATGAAAGCTCAAAGGTTAAGCAATTTGGGATCATATCAATTCGGATCAAATATTAACATATAAGTCCTTTACATGTCACATTATCACCCTTACCGTCTCTCTCATTCTCATAGAATCCTTGTCTATTTGCTTAGGCACTGATATCAATATTCTCAGGTTCACTCGAAGTACATTTAACACCAATCATATTTCCATGTTCACAATCATATCTCTCAAAGGTAAATAATTGATTGGTGCATTCCCTTCTGCATTGAGCACTTGATCATCCTCAGTTTTATTGGCTTCCTAATCTTCAGCAATTCATTCGTCATCAGATTCGATATCTTTAAATATACGTTCAAAATCTTTCTACATTGCCCTCCAGATAAGCTTTGAGTTATACATCACGTAGACAAGGTTACTAGGATATAGTCCACAAGTTGAGCTAGGGTTGTAGTCGGCCTTGTAAACGCATGGGAGGTACAGCCGACCCGATGATGTACGGAACTCTGAAAAATATGGAGAACTATTCCTCCATTGTGCATGGTAATGAAAGGTAGGCAAACAACAGGTTAAGAAGACTTTATAACGAGCGTAGACAAGTCTGAACGGGTTGATGGTCGAGAAAACCACGTATATCGCGTAATTTTCTTATACAAGTAGAAGGTCTCTAACGCAAGGTTTTTTTTTAATATAATTATTATGAAGCGTGTGTATGGGTTGGATTTTTTTTTGATGGATATTGGTTGAATTTTTGAACACCCAGTTGTGACGGCTTCGTGAACAAAGAAGGCAGCCAAATAATTCAGGTATTGGCTTACGTACGTCTATGCGCCTTGCGCGTCGGGACTGTTTTTCTACGTACGCATTTTCACCTTGACCTTGTGATTCAGGTCATTGGCTTGACCCTTGAAACTAATTATATATTCATCTCCTCTCCCCATTCTATTCTACGATGGAATGTTATAATGAGCCCTTTTAGTGTGCTCTATAGCACCCATGCTATAAAAAACAAAAAAAAAAGGTGACCTGTTGAGGAGGTAAACCCACTAAATGACTGGTCCCACATCATTAATGGCAATCTTGTAAATAATGAATCAATGTATACAAGTGTAGGTACAAATTAGAGTTGTACCATATCGTATAGGTACAAGTTTCAGTTGTACCATTGAAGAATTTGTTTCACAAAGTGTAGGTACAACTTAAAGTTGTACCATTACTATAGGTACAATTTTGAGTTGTACCATAAAGGGATTTGTTAGAAAGTGTAGGTACAACTTAAAGTTGTACCATGGTATAGGTACAAGTTTGGGTTGTACCATAAAAGAATTTTGAGAAAGTGTAGGTACAACTTAAAGTTGTACCATTAGTATAGGTACAACTTAAGGTTGTACCATTAGTATAGGTACAATTTTTAGTTGTACCATAAAGCGATTTGTTAGAAAGTGTAGGTACAACTTAAAGTTGTACCATGGTATAGGTACAAGTTTAGGTTGTACCATAGAAGGATTTTTAGAAAGTGTAGGTACAACTTAAAGTTGTACCATGGTATAGGTACAAGTTTAGGTTGTACCATAGAAGGATTTTTAGAAAGTGTAGGTACAACTTAAAGTTGTACCATGGTATAGGTACAAGTTTGGGTTGTACCATAAAAGAATTTTGAGAAAGTGTAGGTACAACTTAAGGTTGTACCATTAGTATAGGTACAATTTTTAGTTGTACCATAAAGGGATTTGTTAGAAAGTGTAGGTACAACTTAAAGTTGTACCATGGTATAGGTACAAGTTTAGGTTGTACCATAGAAGGATTTTTAGAAAGTGTAGGTACAACTTAAAGTTGTACCATGGTATAGGTACAAGTTTGGGTTGTACCATAGAAGGATTTTGAGAAAGTGTAGGTACAACCTTAGGTTGTACCATTAGTATAGGTACAATTTTGAGTTGTACCATAAAGAGATTTATTAGAAAGTGTAGGTACAATTTAAAGTTGTACCATTAGTATAGGTACAATTTTGAGTTGTACCATAAAAGGATTTGTTAGAAAGTGTAGGTACAACTTAAAGTTGTACCATAGTATAGGTACAAGTTTGGGTTGTACCATAAAATAATTTTGAGAAAGTGTAGGTACAACTTAAGGTTGTACCATTAGTATAGGTACAATTTTTAGTTGTACCACAAAGGGATTTGTTAGAAAGTGTAGGTACAACTTAAAGTTGTACCATGAAGTTGTACCATTGTATAGGTACAAGTTTGGGTTGTACCATAGAAGGATTTGGAGAAAGTGTAGGTACAACTAAAAGTTGTACCATTAGTATAGGTACAATTTTGAGTTGTACCATAAAGGGATTTATTAGAAAGTGTAGGTACAACTTAAAGTTGTACCATGATATAGGTACAAGTTTGGGTTGTACCATAGAAGGATTTGTTAGAAAGTGTATAGGTACAACTTGTGAATTGTACCATAGAAGATTTTTAGGAAAGTGTAGGTACAACTTTAAGTTTAGTGTAAAGTTACAACTCTAGAAAGTGTAGGTACATCTTCTAGGGCAAAAGCTAATGATCTATCTGGATCTTCTGTAGCTGTCCGTTCCTGTAGGGCAGCAGCAGGAAAATAATGGTGTGGAAGAAGGGTTTCATGGATGATACTATTTGGGAACAGAAGAATTCAGCTCGTGATGATGATGATGTACGTTCTAATTGAGGTTTCTGAATTTTATTTATTTCTCAATGTTATTGCTTCGACATATACAAGTATGTTTGTGATAATTAAGAAAAGGACCTTTTCCTGCTTATGTACTAATTTGTATTTACTTTGTATTTACTTTGTTTGCGGTACATAGATACAAAAGAATCAGAAGCAACTGATTGTTGCTTCTTCTATGGCACTGCCACACTGATACATTGAAAAAATTCAGCGCGGTAGCCTACTCTGGGTTCCAACAATGAAATGGAATCCCATGTCGTGACTTTACATGTCAAAATTCTAACTTCAGATATAACTCTCTGTGTACAATTGAGGACAATGGAAGCAAAGAATCAAGCAGCATCAGCTTTGGCCCACTTCCAGACGCTGACGACACCATTTGCGTCCCCTGTGAAAAACAAACCGTCAGGCCCACTTCGAATTGCTCTTACTTCCTTCTGTGAGTAAATCCTTCCACGCTCTTCGAGTGTTGGCAACTCGTATAACCCAACACTACAGTTGCTCCACGAACAGAACAAGACTGGTTTTCCTTCGGAATCATTCATCCCACCAAGAGCAACTGCAACACTTTCCTCTTCATGTGTGTACAAAAGGCTTATATCATCACTGTCATCTTCAGCGCAACCCCAGAACTTGACCTTCTTATCCAGTGAGCAAGACACCAGGGCCGTATTCCAGCAGATAACAGACGTCACAACACCATCGTGTTTGAATGCACTCCTCGGTGTTCAAATCCCACACCTTGATTGTCCCATCCATCGAACCAGAATACAATCTTCTATACAAATCACCATTTATGCTAGCTCTGAGGCAAGTAACTGCACTTCCATGGCCTTTTAGGGAAGTAGCAGGCTGCTGAAATTGGGGATCGGCCTGCTGATCAGCAAATCCTTTCCAAACAAAAATTGCACCATCTTCAGCTCCAGCATACAAGGCATCCAACCCAAACTCCAAGGCATTGACTTGACCATTTGAAGTTGTGAGGTCATGATAAACCCCTAATTTAAAGTTCCATGCTTTGACACCATTGGGGTAACCAACAAACACCCAATCTCCATCGCTGATCAAACATCCGATCTTGTAGTCACTAACATTCGCAGTCCCGGCAAGCAAACCAGTATGGCAATCCCAAGCACGTACCACTCCACCACTGGTTGCTGAATATAGCTTGTCAGATCCTGCAGGGTACCCAATCCCAGAAATAGACTTCTTTTCACCGTCATGCTCTTCTTCAACTAGTCTTGCTAGCATTGAAAATCCATCTCCACGGCACCATGAGTGTAGGAATTGACAGCTCTCCCCTCTGCCACAGTTTCCAGACATCCAATCTTGACAACAAGCAGCCTCCTTCTTCCTTCGAAGCAGCAGATAACAGACGTCACAGCACCATCGTGTGCTTGAGTGTTTGAATGCACTCCTCGGTGTTCAAATCCCACACCTTGATTGTCCCATCCATCGAACCAGAATACAATCTTGATCCAGTTCTTCGAAGACAAACTCCCTTCCGTCGTCTAAGTTCCTAATCTTGTACATGAAATCCACCTCCGAAGCACCATCTTCAAACGACTCCCGAGCTTCAGCTGACTAGCAAGAAGTAGACCGCGACAAAGTGTCAGACCAGAGGTCGGGTTCATCAGAACCAGAAGTTCTCAACACTGCGCTGCTATCATCCATCACTCTATCAACTCCCAATTCGATCTTCTCGGGACTTTCCTTCCCAATTCCTTCACCGAACCCCGGTCGAAACTCAGATTCATCTATCCGAGGAACCTCCATCGCCGATCCTCTACGCTCTCCATATTCTTACCCCAAATCTCGAACTGAGAATTAGCGAAAACACCGTTGCCGTCGGAATCGGAAGCCCAATCGGAGATGGAAGAGACCTCTTCCCTAGTATCGAAGAATCCCTCCTCAGCACTGCAACTCTCCATCTATAGTGGGGAATTCCGACTCCCCCAAAGGAACCCTTAAGAATTCAGATCAAGTGATGTTGTTCCGCCTTTGACATGCCGCATGCGAAGTCGGGAGCTTTGAGAGTCGAGAAACGGAACCCCCAATCTCTTTCTTCTCACAGTGTCGCCGTCACCATCGCCCCTTGATGCAGGTTCGTTGTCGCCGTCGCCCTAATTCAGATGCAGATTCGCCGTCGCCGCCAATCAATCCCGTCACTATCGACGAAGAGACGCTCTGAAATCCCACCGCGGAAGAGAGGCTCTGAAACTCGACGAGGCTCTGGAACCGGTGCAACCTGTTACCATTCCAACAGGTAAAAAAATAATAATTAAATAACTTTAATCCAATGGCTGATATTTTATAACAAGATCTAAGGGCTATAGACATAGTAAAGCACTCATACTATATAGCATACTAAAAAGCCTCATGTTATAATACGTACACCATTAATTAATTGTCAAAGGACACGCTAAATTGGTTTGCCTGCATGTAGAACTAGAACTATATATAAAGAACGCTCAGCCCTCATTCAACCAACAACCACAAGCAAAGATCTTCTTACCGAAGGCAAATTTAAAAACAAAGATTCATCAGCAAGCAAACTGATTCTCTCTCTCTCGACTCATTTCCCCCACAAAACAAAAGAAAACAAAACATGGTGAGCTCAGATATCTCAACCGCCTCTCCTAGAAAGCTGGAGGGCAAAGTGGCAATCATCACCGGCGGAGCTAGCGGCATAGGCGAGAGCACCGCCAGGCTGTTCATCCACCACGGAGCCAAGGTCCTCATCGCCGACGTTCAAGACAAACTCGGACAGTCCCTCGCCATGGATCTCGGCCCGCCGGAGATCGTCTCCTTTGTCCACTGCAACGTTACAAGTGATTCTGACCTTGAGAATGCCGTTGATACAGCGGTGTCAAGGTACGGCCAGCTAGACATCATGTACAACAACGCTGGAATCGGAGGTAACCTCGACACCACCATCTTAAACTCGGACAACGCCGACTTCAAGAAGGTGCTTGAAATCAACCTCTTCGGATCCTTCCTCGGAGCCAAACACGCCGCCAGGGTTATGATTCCCGCAAGGAAAGGTTGCATCTTGTTCACCGGCAGCGTTGCCGCTTCTATAAGTGGCGACTTGTCTTACGCATACAAGGCTTCCAAGCATGCTATTTTGGGGCTCAACAACAACTTGACCGTGGAGCTGGGCAAGTACGGCATCAGGGTCAACACCATTTCTCCCTATGGAGTGGCCACTCCCATGGTCACAAGCGGCATGCAAATGGACAAGAAGGCTGCTGAGGAATTCATGTCCGCCGCTGGAAACTTGAGAGGGGCTATCCTCGAACCCGAGGATGTTGCTCGGGCTGCCTTATACTTGGCCAGTGACGATGCAAAATACGTGAGCGGATTGAATTTGATAGTTGATGGAGGCCACAATCACAACCATCCGCTTTTTGGTGCAACAGATTCGCTTGCCAACTGATTACCTCTTCCCTTCCCTTCCCTGATGCACAAATATTCATTTATTTATTGTCTTAAATTTCCTATTATGTACGTAATCAGCCTAGTACCCTCTCATAAACATTGTTTCATTTGTATTTGTATATTATTAAAATGACTTATCCAATTTTTATAATTTCATTGGTTATATGCTATTGTTTCATTTCGGATCCTTAAAATGATAACTAGTTAATATCCCACTACTACCAATTTACAAATTTCATAAGTCATTTTCCCAAATTCAATCCTTTAATTTCGTAATTGTGGCGATCCTAGATAGATCTTACCGAATCCTCGACGTGCATTGCTAGACGCTCATTATCTTTTATTAACATATAATTAATATCGGTAATCAACAAAACCCTACGGGTCACAAGAAAAATTCTTCGAAAATGCGAGCAAAATGATGTGTTTGAATCATTTTGATCCTAACACTAGCTACATCGCCCTACTAGAAATTCTTGCTTATTATAAATCTCCACTGAACTGGGACTGATTGGATGCAAAATCTACCACCCTCATTTGATTGTAGAGATAACGATCCTTATCCAGTTGAGCGCTATTATTGTGGTATCTTGATTATCAATTTTAAAGAGGTATTCCTGTGAAAATAGGATCAAGGGTTAATTATGCCATTAAAGTTATAGAATGGACTGTATTACGGTTATTTTTATTCTAGAGCTTTTTTTCTTTCTTAAATTCTGATTGTTTTCCCTAGGACGGTGAACTTTTCCAGAAACACCACTAAATAAAAAAATTCAAAAATACCACCAATTTTCGAAAAATTCCAAAAACACCACATTTCCCGAAAACCGCTTGGGGAGGGTGCCTTTTTCACTGAAAACCGCATTGGGGCGTGGCGGTCTAATAAACTACGCCGAGAAGCAGCTGTTTGTATGTATATATTTTTTTTCATCCGACTTTAGTCGAATCTTCAAACAAACGTAACTTTGTGCTCCGGTATCCGATCGTAGCGAGATATTTTTTGATTCCGCATAACTTTTCGAGATCTTGCAACCCGCAAACTGCCGTAGGCGGTTTGATCTCGCCTTCTTCTGGAAAAAATGTCGTTTGCTCCCCCAAACGAGCTTATTTCCGACAGTACAACAAAGTTACTCTTCTGTGAAAAAATATTCTGTGATGGGTCAAATTTCGTCACATAATGTACATTTTGTGTGAGGAAATTTACTGCTTGTCACAAAAAGCTTAAATTTTTTGTCAGACCTAGCAAAAAACTATTCGTGACGAAATAAATCTTTCCTGTGATGCAGTCCAACGTCACCTTTAGTTCATTGTTTTATGTGGCGCAGTTTATCTTTACATATGTTAAATGTCGTTTTGGTGACAATGTAAGTAGTGACATAAAATATTATTTTTTGGAAAAGATATTTATTCTATTAGAACATCCTCCCCTCTGTCTCTCTCTTATCTAATCGCTCTCGCGTAGAAAAAAACGCAATCCAACTCCAGAAGAAAGAAAAATGGCGTTATCCTTCTCCCAGGAAGATCCAATACTTTGAGTCCCCGAGCAGTGTTGGGGTCGATGGTGTGAGGAAGGCAGCCAGCAGTTCCCCAAAGCTAGCGCTCTAATCAGATCTCATCTACCTTTCTTCACTCTCGCTTTCTCTATAAAAGATCCAAAATCCCTAGATCCATTGCTCCAAACTAATCCTATAAATCCCCAAATCTCTAGCATTAATCGATCTCATAGGATTCGAGCAATCCAAGAAGGTTAGTAGCATCGATTAGCCCAGATTAATATCCTCAAAGTTCATGGTTGTTTCCCTTCTTTCGAGAGTTCGATCTCGATATCCGCCTTTTCAGATTGGGGTGTAGAGGCGATGGTAGAACAATTTCGTCCATTCGATTTGACCTAATTCATGACAATTGACAAGTATCTTCTATTTCGTGTATTAGAGGTGGAGAGTTGCTTGGCTCTCAATTGGTCGTTCCTTGTGATTCTTAATGTTTCCATTTGATGGATTGTGCTCTGTTATCCATATTGAAGTCAGTAAACTTGTGGAAGGAAGGTGGCTGGATAATGAGGAGTTCATTATTTGGATGAAATGATATTCAATTCCGCGATTGGAGGCCCTATTAAGTCGAAATATTAAACAAACATAACTTTGTGCTCAGGTATCCGATCGTAGCGATTTTTTTTTTATTCCAACATAACTTTTCGAGATTTTAGCTTTCTTCCCGATAAAACGACGTTAGCTACCCCGAACGAGCTTTTATCCGATTTCGCCAAACTTTGGACGACTATAACTTTCTTCTCCGCAATCCGAATGTCATGATTTTTTTTTTGATTTCGTCTAACTTTTCAAGGATTACAATTTTTATCATATTCATAATTTCTGAATGTACTTGGATTTGTGAAAAGTGAAAGTAAAGCTATTCCCAAAATCCCGTATATCCAGAAATAATTCCTGTTTTGAAAATTCCTTCCATGTAAAAGTTGTAGTCCTTCTAAAGTTACGCGAAATTAAAAAAAATTCATGACGTTCGAAGTGCGGAGCCTAAAGTTATAGTCGTCCAAAGTTTGGCGAAATCGATCGGAAAAAAGCTCGTTCGGGGAAACAAACGACGTTTTTCTAGGACAAAAGCGGAACCAAACCGCCTGCAGAAGTTTCGCCATGCAAGATCTCGGAAAGTTAAGCGGAATAAAAAACTCGCTACGATCGGGTACGCGAGCACAAAGTTATGTTTGTTTGATGTTTCGACATAAGATTGGATTGAAATACAATATCCATACAAACTGTTGCATAGGGGGTGGGGGGGGGGGGTTGCACATGAACCGCTGCTTCCCGACGTAGTTTATCATTATTTGTTCCTAGAGAAGTTAATCTCGGGTTCTGAATAACAATGATGCATTCAGGGGAACACTCCTTTCCAACTTCATCATTACATCAAATACGTTGTGCTGTTGCGGAGAGTTTGAAGCAAGAAGCGTCACATTGTCAATAGTATCGAATTCTGAGTCCATAGGAGGGGATACAAGGCTAGACGCAGAATCATCAAAACCTAAGGTGTGTGCTCCTGCGGTGAATAAGAGCAGCCTTAACTGTCATATTAAGTCTAAGCACTTACAACTTCATATTTTGATTGATAAAACATTATGGTTAGTGGATGCATGACATTAATGTTCGAATATATGATTTATTGCTTGAATCAATACATATTGTTTAGTGAAGTGGTGATATCTGGACCAATTGGTAAATGATTTCATAGAAACGATTAAGACCGATTCTGATTATCAAACAGACATAAGATTTCCACATGTGATTATTGTACATTTAATTATTGCTTTCCATATCTTTCTTACCAAACCCTAACAAATCCTTTAGGAATCTCTTTGACTCTGGTTCTTCCTTCACTAGTCGCCTCACAATGATGCCTTCTTGGATCATAATTGCATAGCTCAATCAAAGTAATAAAATTCCTTGTTCGAGAACACAAGAACAAGGTATTCCAA